CCTGTACCTTGGCGAATGCTCTAGTATTTACTAGATATAGGATAGTCTGGTATATAAAAGAGGGTGACAACGTGACGGGATAATAATGTGTGTGTGTAGATAGTGAGTAATTGAACTGCAGTCACAGGGTATTGTTGAAGTTAACGTTCGTTCGTTATAGTGTTTGTTTTAGCGCGATTGTTGAAAATAAGTGTATCGTAAAGTTATATTCGGAAAGAATAAACCAGTTTTATTAAGTAAGGACTTGTGTCGCTAAAGTTTCGTCGGAACGAAGTTATGGAAAGTTAATTAACAAACGAAGACGTAACAGTATTAAAAACTTTACCTACATACATTTACTATTTTTCTACACTAGCTGATTACGAGAGAGAGATTATACTTACAGCAGAGTTGGAGTAGTAGAAGCCTTAGCTATCTTGTTGAACTTCATTTTCATCTTGCTGGAGAACTTCTGGAGAGAACTTGTTAAACTTTTCTTCAGTCCGAGGAGCTGGTAGGAGAACTCGCCAGAGAACTTCTTAGTCTCGGAAAAACTTAACTTTCAGCCTCTGACATGGGTTTTTAAACTATCTTTTCTCTGTATTATTTCGACCTACTAAATAGGACACAGCATCACCGACAAGTAATCATGTGCTCCTTTTGGATACTTTAGGGGAATTCCCGGGCTAAACCACAACCACAACCAAAACTCTCAAGTAATTGGTCATAGATAAGTGGTGTTAGCCGACCGCCTATTCACTGCTACACCCATGTGCTGTAACTACTACCACCTCAAAGTGCCGATATCATTCACCAAACCTAAACTTTTCTGTAGCTAGTTCTAAGAAGGCGAGGTCAACAATTCTTCAAATTGTCATATGTACTGGTGTCTACATCCTGTTTCTATGCAGCATTTCTTACTAACTCTGCTGCTGACCTTGGTCACTGGTTTCCAAGCTCGCTTCTCAAGCTTATTTTGGTAATACACGGGCCTTGTTGCTTGTTTCTAGGCGATACTACTTACATAACCAAGTTCCTGTTTATCTATTCTCAAAGCTTATTTCGTAACACAGGCATCCTCTTGTCGCCTCTTTTCTTTTGATATATATCCTTGACTACTTTATTATACTAAAAACCCTTAAGTTTTTTATATGTATTTTCAACTAATAAAACTCTGAAGCAATTTATAAAATTTCTTCGAACATTTTCAAGTTGCTTCATCGTTTATAAAATTTTGTTGTTGTTCTCGACTTCATCCTTATTTCATTACCTCGTCTCCATAGTTACTGTTTGCAAATAGTCAATAATATTGTAGGTTCATTTTATTGTTGTTCTTTCTACGCCCCATTATAACACATTTTCATCTCCTCATTTAATTTCTGTTGTGCATATATTGTTTTATAGAAGGTTTTTTTGAAAGTGATTTATCAGGTGGAAAACGTATAGATAAACCGATATGTAGCGCCATCTAGTGTACCTAAATTCATCTAAAAATTTTCATAAAAGTGACCCAAAAAACGTTACATTCTATTTTGTGTATTGTTTCATTTCAAAACGTTCCTGTAATTGTCATTAACAGATAGGCTTGTTTCTGGTTCGAAAAAGAGCCTTTGCTCGAAACGTCGCCAAGTTAATAAATTAATACCAGTTTTTAAAGGTAATTTTTCTCTAAAAGCCTAATTTACTTTTATTGTTATAGATATTAACTGTTCTATATATAACACATTCACTGTGTATTTTCCTATAAATATAGGTATCTTAAACATTAACCATATTTACAGAAATTTGGGAACTCATTATTTCACATCATTCTGTAAAAATATTTTGGAGTAGTGATCACTAGACCACCCGTTGTTGCCTCCCCAGTGACATAGTGGTATGTCTTTGGACTTGCAACGCTAGAAACCGGCTTTCCATATCCTTGGTGGGCAGAGCACACACAGCCCATTGTGTAGCTTCGTACTTAAGTACAAACAAATAAACCACCCGTTGTTAGATTGGGTTACTACAAACGAACGTCCCTCTCTAAAGTTTTCGCCCTTTTAACAGAGAAACAAAAGTATATGAAATTGTCACTTTAGTGAAACTTTAATGAAACTGTTTTTGTAGTCAGAAAAGTCTTTCAATAACAAATATTAAAAATACATTGTAACCTGGGATACATCCAGTTTTCGAAGAACAGTTTCTTTTAAAAGACCTTTTCAGAAATCAAAACTAATATTGTTTTTATGACACTTGGATATATCAACAATCACCCTATCGTCAAATTTCATGACGAATATATCCTTATTCGAGAAAAAGTAGGTAAATTTTCGTGCAGGTGTTTTGTTGTACTTTGTAACATTCCTGTAAATGAGATGTTCAAAGCTCATAAACTTGTTCTAAGCCTCTAAATTAGACATAAAATGGAACCCACAACGATTGTTTCATAGATTTATACTTGCTTGACTTGATTTCTGTTTTGTGCCTCCTGAAGTGATTTCATACTTATGTAAATAATTTTTATGAAGACTCTATGAAGTTAGTATGAGTTGAAAGTATATATTATATACATATAAGGGGAAACATTACTGGTCCAAGTAACCCCAAAGATAGTGCGATACCTAAATTTGATATCATTATTATTCTAACTCTTGTCTTCATCTTGTACACAGGTTAGGAATCCTCCCTCTCTCCCTGTCCTAGTAACACGAAGTTCAATACCGACCAGTTAAGTTAAACACTAAGCAGTGTTAACTGTATAAATAAATATTTTGTTTTTATTAATACACTTGTTCCTCCTTTGCTGTTGGCATTTGCATCGTTTAAACTTATGGTTTGGGCATAAGTTTGCCAGATTACCACCTTTTCGAATACTAGATAATTCTTTGTTGGATGTCTCGTTCACTATTCAATGAATAATTCTTTACCTCACACTTGTTTATTAAACTCATACAAAACATTTACCTCCACATGAATTGCAATATGATGATGTCATATTTCTCATTCTAACAGACTTACAATCTTCAAAGTCATATAACGTAAAGACAGCCATGAATATTAGAAGACTCACAAACTTGGAAATGTTATTGGATACAGAAATATACCAAATTCCCTCTCTAATATCTGTGGTTCGGCTATTTCTATAAATACTTGACAGATTTTAATAAACTAGAGCAACACTATCTACAGATCTAGATAAACAAGGACTTTTAATCCATAATACTGAACCCATTATAGCAAGACTATCCACAGATCTGAGTAAACGACACACAAATTTTAATCCATAATACTGAACCCATTATAGCAAGACTATCCACAGATCTGAGTAAATGACACACACATTTTAATCGATAATACTGAACCAAGGTTAGCAACACTCCACAAAAATATGGTTGAACGCGGTTTTATCGATAATAGTGAATCCGCCAGAGCAACAGTGACGGACAAGGATTGATCCTTTAATCAATAATGTTGAGCCTACTAGATTAACACTGTCTATTGATGTGGTTGAACAACGATTTATCTTTTAATAGGCATGTAATCAACCAACTAGATAAACACTCTACAGAGATCGTGTTGACAAGGACTAATCGTTTATCATCAGTGCTGAACCTACAATACAAATATATTGTTAGATCTCGATGAACAAGGACTGATCTTTTAATCACAAACAATGAATGCAATAGAGCAACCTCTAATAGATAATCAATAGCACTGAATGCACCAGATGAGCATTGTACATATCTTAGAGAACAAGGACTTATGGTTTAATTGATAATACTGAACCCAATATAGCAGAACTGAACAGGGATCTCGATCTATTTATACATTGATTGGCATTTGAATATCTGATAGTATTAAAACAAAATGAAAAATTAATTTAAAACAATGGTGCTCTTATAGACGGCAACCTTATTTATATTAGTAATACCAATGATAATGCAAGACAGAATGACTGTTATTAGAAAACTAAAAATCAAAACTGATCCACTTTTTCTAATGTGGTAATGACAGATTGTCATTACTATAACAATAAGTTATGACACTATAACTATAAGTAATGTCACTATAACTTCGTCTAGCCATAAAATTATCTAGTCTTTGATAAGTTTTGTATTTTTACTTCTATTTTTTTATGAATACATGAATTTTGTCATTAAAACAAATAGAACACCATTATAATTCTAGCATAATAATTAAATTTTATTGTAATGGTTCGTGTCAAGAATATAGCGTGCATATTTCCACATTTTAAATAAAATTAATCACACGAGATATCAACGTTTTTTGCTTGCACAATAAGTTATTTGTAAAGTTTAAAAAAACACTTTAACAACTCTACATGTTTCAGTGGAAATAATTCCACCGTCTTCACGAGAATAAACCACGGAGTACACATGAAGTTTCTTATAAATCTATGTACATGTATAATTAGCTTGTTTATACAAGTGGCGCCATTTATAACAACAATTTCCAAGTAAATATTCCATGGCTCCTGGGCCCAAATCTCTATTTATATTCATTTTGTTTTTAACAATTTCTGGAACATTAATTACTTTGCTTTGTGGCAGTTGGTCCTATTGAACAAGAAGCGAGTGGGTGGGGAGCATGGTTTCAAGCATTATAAAAATGACCCTCCTGGAAAGCGCGGTTATAGTATACATATCTGATAGTGTTTTGCATGCCATGTTTCAGAGATAATCAAGACTTGAACATAAGTTAATACGAATAAATTCTGTCTGTAACTCTTCATCAAGGGTTTAATAGCATTCTTCAAACTGCTTAAGTATTTCATGTCGGATAAGGAATCATAAATTGAACGCTGTGTAAGTAATTTATGTACGGTAGTACTTAATAGTGGGGATCGACAAGGATTCCAAATAATTCACGCGCCTAAAAACTACTTTATCGTATTTCTAAGCGAAAAACCGACCAAAAACCGACGGAAGTGAAAAAAGTTTCACGTGCAAATAGAGAAATTAAGATAGTCTATGAAGCACTGTGTAGAGTTTTCTGCATAGCTTTGCAATCATGATTCAAATTGAACAATGGACAATGTGGAATTGCAGGAGAAGTTCGGTGATCTTCAGCAGGCATTTACCCAGTCTGACAGAATGATGTCTTCAAGTAGAGCCATAGAAGTTGAGAATGAATACTTACCAAGGATCCAGGAACTCATCACGGAGTTCAGAGCCACTGGAAGACAGCTTTCAGCTACATTTACTTTCTGGTATAATTTCATGAAAGGAGCACGAGGTCTGCTTCACCTACTTTGATCAGAAAAATATGAAACTTTGATCTCCACTTCAACGCAACATCCAAAGCTACTCAATGGTTTAAAGCAGCATGCAAGAGCCTCTATGCCAAATATGTTCCTCTGTAAATGATTGATGTTATCACAAAAATCAAAATCAATTTCATCTTGCCACTGCTCCCTCTGAAATCATCAATATAACCACAAGTTTGGTAGCTTCACCTGAGGTGACCAAGAGTTTGACTGGATTTCTATATATAAACAAGAAGAGACATAAGGATTTC